TGAATTCAGCTATTGATGCTGCTACTCATGTAATTATGCTGATGATGTATTGCTTAGAGTTCGGAGGTTATAGGGTAAATCTTTTGATAAACTCTTTTTGTTGCTTGAATGTTAATTTCATTGGATCAATTGACATTAGCATAATAATGTGAATAATTGATTCAGAATGTCTAAGTAGTGATAATTTGGGGGGTGCTTCCCACCCCCACCTTTCCCACTCACTAGATAATCTATATCCTAAATCATACATGTTTGAAGAAAGATTGATCCCAATGTAGTGCATCTAATTAGTAGTTCTGAACTATACAAGCTTGAAAAGCATCTATGTGACCCATCAGGGGAAAGGTTTCTGTGAGGCCACAAAAGGCATGGGAATAGAAAAGGAGATTGCCCTCCAGTGTTGTATGTAAGAGTGAAATATGCAAGGGTACAAAGAGAGCAATGCAACACACTTGCTGTTGGACAATGGAGAAATAGGAAGTTGCAGCATGATGGATCACATTTCCAAAAGTTAGGATATGAATACAATGCAATACAATACAATGCAGATTTTGTGCCAAAAGAGAACTTCTGGTGTCCCGTGTGAAATGTTTAGTACTCCTTTTGTGAATTTGCATAGCCATTCAGAGAGGCTGCCCCACAGCTCCATATACGCCAGTGTTCTGCCCGCTCCTCCATCCAATCCATGAATTCAAATACTAGGCAGGAGTAATTCTCTCTAAGGCTGTGTCAAAATTACAGCCACCCCAATTCGTTAAACCATATGCAGGCAACAAAATTAAGTGCATTTTAGTGATGTGGAGGGTGGGGAAAAAGTAAGTGTGTGTGTGTGCGTACACACACATGTCTGGGTGGAACTTCTTGGTGGCAATGTTCCTCCAGGTGGCCACCAGCTGGCAACCAAGTTTTCCCCTCAGAAGTCCCTTCAGAGCAAGGAATGGGGGGGGGGGGATTGAAAAGGCCCTCTTCTTTGTTACTGCTCTCCAAACCTTTCTCAGAGAGTATGCATGGAGGAGGGCCTCCAGTGTTGATCTTAATGCAGGTTGGGGTTTATATCAGGAGAGAGGTATCATCAAGTATTGCGGTCCCAAGCAGAATAACTCTATCCACATGTTCCACAGTCTGCACAGTTCTCCCTGTCCTGTTTTCCATTAGATTCAGGACACAGCACATAGTTAAGCTGTGAAATTCAGTACACAACTTGGGTGGGTTTAAAATGGGTGTAAACAAATTAATAGAGGGTAAGGCTATCAATGGCCACCAGCCATGATGGCTGCCATACTACCTCCAGTATGGAGGCTGTATGCTTCTGAACACCAGCTGCTGACCATTGCAAGTGGGGAGGGGGCTGTTGCTTGTGGGCTTCCCATAGGCATCTGACATCCATGAAAACAGGATGCTGAGCTAGATGGCATTTTGGTCTGATACTTCTGCAGTCATCTTTTGAAAGGATTCTTAACTGCAAATGACATAGAGCAGGGGTTCCCAATTGGTGGTCCATTGACCCCAGCGGGGTCCATGTAATCCACATGGGGGTCTGTGGCACCATTCACATAACAGAAACCACTACAGAGATATAAAAACTTTCAAAAGTAGGGGGTCTGTGGGTTGGGTTTTGAAAAACGGGGTACACGGTATGTAGCTAATTGGAAACCACTGATATAGAGAAAATGTTATTTGGAGATATTTAGTAAGTTGCTTCTCTCAAAAATACTGAGAGCTTATCCACTCTTTCCAGGCATTGTCCACACTTTAAAGCTTCCTGACCAAGCACCCTTCCCCACCTCCACCTGAAAAACCCGCTCTTTAAAACTGAATTGGAGCTAACAGCAATCCACTGAAAACCAGAAATGACATTTGCTCCGATTGAGCGCTAAAGAGCAGGTTTTTGTGGAGAAAGCTCAGGGCAAAAAAGAGAAAGCTGTGTGAACCTGTGCCTGGAAAGTGTGGGGTGAAAGGAAAGTGTGGATAAGCCCCAAGATACAGGTTTTATAGATCTGATTTCTAAGCTCCAAATGTGTTGTCTTGAATTGCTTTGGAAAGACTGTTTTAAGTACTCTAAGTTTGGCTACAACTTATATTTGAAGAAGGCAATTAAGTTTGCAACGTGTATCCTTTTAGTAAAACAAACGACTAGCTTTTACATCCCAAGAGTCATACAAACAGGACTTCTTAGAAATGTTTCCCTCGGAATTGTTCTACCAATAAAATGCCACCCATACAGATGATTGAATGTTGCAGCCAGACCAGTTTTAACAACTTTCTGTTTTGTCTTTGCTGTCGTCTTCTCGACTTGCATTATCAGAGACCTCCTAAATTGTTTGCTTTAAGGAACAAAATTGGACAGATGTATCATCTGTCATGGGACCTGAACCCACTGTCATCCTGGGAGAGAGCTGCTATTAATGGATGAAGATGTCAAACTATGTTACAGCCGTATCCACGATGGCATATTTATCACGGTGTCAGAGGGCCCCTTACAAACCGAAGGATTTCAGTGTTTATTCACAGTGAAGGCACTTAATTAATGACTCGGCCTAATCATGCTGTTTTATTATTTACAGGGATACCAGCATGGCTTAGCTCAACTGATATGCAAACAAACCAGCCTCGTCCCGCTTTAATTAATAATTCTCAACCAGGCTGAGAGAGTGGCACTGTCAAGTTGCTCTTCAGTGATTTACAACACCTCCTTTGCGACATTCACATCTCTTGCATGCAAATGAGCAGCCACCTCTGCAAATCTTACCATTTAAAACACAAGCTGTCACGTTGGTGGCTGCAATGCCCTTATCTTGCGCATGACTTAATGAAGACAAATGTCTGATTTGGCCAAGTTCCTTGGGTCTTTCATGGGCACACACCTACAAGGGACAACATTTCAGAAAGAGTCAGGGGGAAGGAACTGCATGAGCAAGTTTCCTTCCCCGCCCCCCCCTTGCCCTGGCTACATTCTTAAATACTTCTGCAGTGAAATGTCTTGGCTAGGGTTGGACGAATCTGTACCTTCTGGTTTCTTGGATTCTCGTTTTTCCGATCTTAAATTCAGTTCTCAGCATTTCAACATCCGTTTGCAAATTGCATACAAATATTACATTCCCTAATATTTGGGCACGTTATTTTAACTAATGCATACATTTTCTATGGACACTTTCCCGCAGTGCATGCATTTTTGTACACGGCACTTGGGTTGAGAACAGCACTGCAAAATTTGAAGAAGTGCACATTTTGAAGAATGGCTGTGTTTTGGTTTTCATTTTGCTTCCAAAAGTGCAAATTTGGTTGATTTACCTTTAAGCAGCATGATCGGGAATACAGGAATATTGTGAATGAGAATGACTGGATCTTTGTGTGTGTGTGTGTCCCCCACTTGCCCTGCATTGTTCACACACAATGACTAGCTGATAATTGGCCAAATGGGGCTACAAGGAAGTTCAGAGTAATTCATTATAGCTGGAAAAATTCAGTAGTACATGGAGAATCATATCTGGCTTTCTATAGTAAAATCTAGGCCTTCCTTTGGGGCTCTGAATCCCCCCCCCCAACTGTGATTAATGCCCTATTTCATCCACAGCTTGTAGTAGCAAAACAGTCCTTTCTCTCTACATGCCCGTTCTTTTTCAGAGGGCGATGGAAAGCTGCCGAGAACAGTTCAAAGGAATGAGTCATGGCTTCCCTGATGAGGCTTCAGTCACACGCTGAACTCTCTCTCTCCATTGGCATTGTTAGATATATGCAAATCATGAGGGGAGATTGACCTCCACCTTATGTGTTCATTTCTTTCTCTATGGAAAGCTCAAATTAGAAGTTCTCAGTTCAGTTCTAGGGTGGGGAGGCATACAGAGGGTCTCTGGCTCTTTGTCTTTTGTCTTAAAAGACAGTGGAGGAGTCTTGAAAGCATCAATAGTTTCCCAGTCTCAAACTATGAGGAACCCGGCCGGCCTCATCCCTGCTTCTTACCTTCATACCAGTATTGACTAAAAGAAGGCAGAGAGTTTGTTCAATCTGCTGTGACTTACTGTTCTTTCGTTAGTAACTTGGCAGTATAAAAAAAGAACCACAGGGCATAGAAAATATTCCAGAAATGGCAGTGGATTATCCCACATTGTTTTGAACTTTGCCCCGAACCCCCTCTTTTGTTATTTCTGACTCTTAGTCCTGGCTTATTTCATTTAGGAAAGCTTGAGGAAATCAATCTTAGCAAAGCCCAGTGTGAACTGGCCTGATCTGCAGTTACTGGACTGATGTGCAGATAGCCTTCACAGTTGTGTCACAGTACTCAGCTCAAAAAAAGGTATCAAAACGTGCTTCAATGAGTATTTTGGGATCAAATTAATTTAGGAATGCAATGCACATTTTCAGAGAAAATGCATTAAAAATGTGTATGCACATTTAAATGCAAAATTTCATGCAGGAATCGCAGGTTAATTTTTGAATTGTAGATTAAGTTAGAAATGGGGCAGAGAAAATTTAGGAGTGAACACCTATGCAAATGGCATGGACTGGAAGGAGATTAACTCTTCCATCCCAAGCTTCATTGGTCTTGCTTCTCAGCCTGCATTTCGCAATCCAACTGCATCCAGGGAGTCTCTGCTGGCCAACTATTAGCAGTGGCTTACCTGCTCTAATGCAGGTGGTGCTGTGGTCTAAACCACTGAGCCCCTTGGGCTTGCCGATCAGAAGGTTGGCGGTTCAAATCCCTACGACGGGGTGAGCTCCCGTTGCTCAGTCGAAAGCACGTCAAAGTGCAAGTAGATAAATAGGTACCACTCCAGCGGGAAGGTAAACGGCGTTTCCGTGCGCTGCTCTGGGTTGCCAGAAGTGGCTTAGTCATGCTGGCCTCATGACCCAGAAGCTGTACGCCGGCTCCCTTGGCCAATAAAGCGAGATGAGCGCCGCAACCCCAGAGTCTGTCATGACTGGACCTAATGGTCAGGGGTCCCTTTACCTTTTTACCTGCTATAAATCCCTTTGGACTGTTTACATGTGCTTTAGGGAAAGGCCATAGCTCAGTGGTAGAGCACATGCTTTGCATGCAAAAGATCCTAGGTTCAGTCCCCAGCATCTCCAGGTAGACTGGGAATGAATAATCTCTGAAACCCTGAATAGTTGCTGCCAGTGTAGACAATACTGAGAAAGGTGAATCAATCATCTGGCTCAGCTTATATAAGCTTCCTATATTCAGATTTGCCCATTCTTTCCCATTAGTATTGGTTACCCAGACCAGTTGTACGCTGACCAACACCATTCAGACTGACACCATCCACTGTCAGGTTAGCCATAATAGCTGGAAACTGTGTTATAACGTCAGGGCTAGCCCAAGACATTTTGCTGCTTGGGGAGGGACCCCAAGATAGTACCTCACTCCCATTCAACATACAGAAGGTGACCAAACTTGTAGTTGAATCTTACCTCAGCACTGGCAATGAAACAACATCTTCCACCACACCTGAGGGTAGCAGCTTATCTAAAGGGGTGCACACTGGATGCACTGCTCTGTCCTTCAGTGTCTCCCCATCCCCAGCAAATGCTGCCTGAGTCAGCTGCCTCTTTCTGCCTAATAGTAGGGCCGGCCCTGGATAATGTGGTGCAAAGTTAAACAGCTGTGTCTCATTTACAGGTTTCAGCATTCAGTCTGTTTGACCCTCCACCGTTGAGTAAAAGATGGGAAATTACAAAATAAATCTCTTAATGATTTTTCTTTCTGCTGCATTTTTAAATCTCAGAGCCAACAAATGACTTATAGCTTGCCCTAGAATGGCATAGAATATTGGAGGGCATGTTGTGTTGACAAAGAGGCAAAGTAGCTCATTTTAGTGCCTTTTGTTGAAAAGAATATTCTGAAGAAAGAGAGTAGCTTAAATTAAATGCACACAGAGGGGGAATAACATATAGTGGTACAAAACCCAGGCCATTTTAACTATCCCCCTTATGGCTCATTTCCTCACTAGCGGGGATAAGTGTGTTATCCCACTGTAACTCATTATGTTTTCCACCTCCCTGTGTTCCTTTGTATCATGACAGTCATTAGTTAGTTCTGTGGCATACTGTTAGACATGAAAATGTATTTGGAGAGTGATTTTTTTAAAAAAAAATAGTCCGGTTGAAATCTCCCTATTCCCTGAGGGAATACAATAAATAGCAGTAAAAGATCCTGTTGTGAGAACAGAACATGAAGGCTTTAGAAAACAGCCTGGAACATGATATTCCACCAAGAAATGCAAAATGTGACACTTACTGGTCCATTGTATCAACACCTGCAGTTTCTTTGACTGTTTAGATGATATTTACTTCCTTAAGAACTTTATCTTTCAATTTAACCCTAGGATCGAGTGGTGTTCATAGCTTACCTGTAATGAGTATGGGTTGCTCGTGCGTAAGTTGCCGCCTCTCCTGGCTATGTTGCCTGGTTAAACCTTTCTGTCTGGACATCCCTTCACTTCGTGGCTGCCTCAGTCGCTAGCAGAATCCGTCAGTGGGCGTTTCTTAAACCTTTTCCAACATAAAAGTTGTTTGACGCCAAGTCTCCTCCTACTCTCCCTGCGTGGAAGTCTTCTGCGCAGGGAGGGCGTGGGTAGCGGAGGACCCGTGCTCTCCCCGCTGGTGTCCGGTGAAGAGTCCTGGAGCCATCTCGCCGATTCCCCCATCTGCCCCCCTTTATCCCGGGTGTTGCGCTGATTTGCTTCCCCATCTGCTGAGCTGCCTCTCTCCCTGCTGGGCCCTTCTCCAGCATCATTTGAGAGCCTTCCCTCCGCCTCTAGCTCCGATGTCAGTTCCCTGACATTACCATACGACCGTGTGCGTATTTGTGTTTGTAGAGTATTACCTCAGGAAAACGAAATGGTAGAAATCCCACCATGGGGATTTTGTATCATTTGTTACCAGGAAGATGTCTCAAAGTAAATATGGGCAGCATTATGGATGTGATGTTGACGCTGCGCTAGTGTGTGTATGCAGTGGTGAGATGGATGAGGGAAAATCAGCTGAGCTTGAATCATGGCAAGATGGAGGCACTGTGGATGAGTGGTTCCCATGTCTAAGAAACTGGACAACTCCCTGCCTTGGATGGGGTTGTGTTCTCTCTGAATAAGCAGGCATGCAGTTTGAGGGTGCTTCTGGATCCAGCTCAATCACTGGAGGCTCAGGGACCCTCAGTGACTAGAAGCTCATTTTGTCAGCTGTGTCTGGAATGACAGCTATGACCTCCCAGAGCTACGATTCCCAATGAGATTTAACAATAAATCCTTCTATTCAGGAAACTCTGGCAACTGTAGCTCTGTGAGGGGAATAGGGGTCTCCTAACAACTCTCAGCATCCTTAGCAAACTACAGCTCCCATAATTCTTTGGGGGAAACAATGACTGTTTAAAGTGAAATTGTTGTTGTTTAGTCATTTAGTCGTGTCCGACTCTTCGCGACCCCATGGACCAGAGCACGCCAGGCACTCCTGTCTTCCACTGCCTCCCGCAGTTTGGTCAAACTCATGTTAGTAGCTTGGACAACACTGTCCAACCATCTTGTATAGTACTCTAAATGTGTGGTGCAAATGTGGCCTGAGTTAATACATTGCATTTTTTAAAAAGAAAAAAGAACAAATTCCTTGAATCCTACCCTTTCATTCTGGGGTGCCAACACACCAGCCTCCTGCTCCTGTATCACCTCATGTCATCTGACAGCCCATTCTGCTGCTCGCCTCTTGACAGCCCTTCCGTCCACTTCCATGGCTCACGTTACAATAACACACGGGGATGTGAAACTAGACAGTGAGGGAAGGAAACATGGAGGTGCATAATGTCTTGACATGTACTGTACGATGTTACGATGCCAAAGACGAACAACTGGCACCACTTAGCTACTAGCTGTATGTGAAGCAGCCCATCCTGCTTCACCATCTGAGGTAAAATAGGACTGTGCTGCCCCCCTGCCCCCTGCCCCACCCCACACTTCTGCCATTTGCCAGAATGCTCCCCCGTCTCACCAAACTTGGCAAGAGGGGGAGGCATTCTGCAAGGCATTCCCGCTCATCATCCCCACTCAGGAACAGAAGTTGTGGGGCGGGTGGGTGGTGGGGTGCCGCCTCTTGCACTTCCACCGCCTGAGGCAAGTGCTTCACCCCACCTCACCAGTGGGTCGGCTCTAATGTGAATACACATGCAGGGGAGATGATGACATCATGCTATATTACACACCACTTGAATGTTATTTCTTATGTATTAATTGGCAAGTATTATCCACTTTGCTTGCCTGTGGGGGTTTCGGCTTGCTGCCCCTGCCACCTGTCTTTAGGTGACAGGCAAAACCATACCTCTTCTCCCAGGTCTTTGGCTTTTAAAACTGTGTGGGGGGTATTGTTTTTATTCATTATTAGGCTATATATTTTTGTGTTTTTATATTGTAAACTGACCTGTGATCTTCGGATGAAGGTTGGTATAGAAATTTAATCAATAAAAAAATCATAAATAATAAAAAAAATACAGAATTTACAGCATGGGGGTTGGAAGCTCAGATAAAATCCTGCTTTTGCATGTGCCACAGAAAAAAGGCAGGAGGAAATTGAGCAACATGTAGGACACAACAGTAGCACTTCGGGTTAGGAAATTAATTCAATTCCATTCTCATTTATAGAGAAACCTACCAAATTTGCATTTTTCCAAACAATACGCAAACAGAAATGTAGCCATTCTTTTGAAATTTGCAATTATCTGCATTTAGAAATGCAGTTCTCTGGGCAAGTAATGTTTACAAAGATGGACATAGGAAAGTGTGCATAAAATGCATATATTAGTGAAAGACATGCAAAAATTTATTCCATATGGGGATTCTGCTTTGTAAAAATATGTACATTAGGCCAGATTGCAGATAAACATGAACATATTTGGATAAATTCACACAAAAATGCTGATGATTTTTTTTTTTTTAAAGCAAACTCATATGGAGACATGGAGAACTGAACGTAAAAATGGAAAAGTGAGAAACTGAGAAAACCGAAAATTGACAGTTTCATCCATCCCTAGTAGTGCTCAGCACATTCCGACCTGACTCTTTTGTTTACAGGTACAATTTTATTTCTAATGTAATGTAGATAAGTTACATTGCCTCATAATCTTTGTCAAAATGTTACTGTGTGTTTCTATATTAACTGCCCTGGCTGGGCAACAAATCTAAATTGGCACAACATATCATGAGCCACATAGCTAGAATGTGTGGTGCTCCCCCCCCCCCCGGTTGATGTGACTGCCTGTAAATTTGTGCCAGGATGTTTGATAGTCTATTGGATGAACTCAGCAGTACAAGGCAGCAGCATCTTTGCCTTATTAAATCTTCCTCTCCACTCCATTCTCTCGGTTACATTTGTCTGCATTTGCTCTTTCTGAAGATATTGACACAGCAAAGCAAGTTTTGCTGCAGTTAGTTTCTCACTTCTAATAAATTCCAAAAGCCTGCTTCAAAAATGCTTTGTCATCAAGCCAGCCGCCCCCCTTCCACCTACCCAACCAATCAGAAGAAGAAATACTTCTGGAACTAAACCTTCCTTCTTCATCTCAGGTTACATTATTTTGCTTCATCGTTTAAATTTGCTGGCTAAGGGCTTTATCCCGAGACATTAAAAATATAAAGAGGTTCTTCTCACCAAAATTGTTCTGGGGTAGAGAAGTATAACAGAGAATTTACTTCATAATGGAGTACTGCCCCTCCAGATCCAAGAAAACACTTCCGTCCTGCTATGATTAACGGATACATATTTTGGTTTTTTGTTATTTCATAACATCTCCATGTGTGACGGCAGGTTTGCACGTGTAGTTTGCTGGCTGGGATCTTAGGTTGGGTCACGGTGTTCATCTCTGAAGAGAGTGACCCGAGGGGTTCAAAGGAAGCATCCTGAGTGACTTTGAGCCAATCAGCCCAGCTTCATGGGGTCATTTTGAAAGTAAAATGGGAGGAGGCCGTTTATGTACTGTGGCTTGCCTTTGTTTTATTGATTATAGTTTAGAAATGATTTATTGTAACTGTTGAGTGCAGATTAACATTCCAAAGCATAGCAAATTAATATGGCTATTAAATGCTGTCAAATATGCCCCAGCATCCAGCAAAAAAATAATAAAAATTGATATTCCTTCATCTGACAGGATTTGTCACACTCAAAGACTAGGCATTTTAAGTAAAGGTGTTTCTGTAAATACCAATAGATCTGTGAGAGCATATTTAAAAACGAAATTATTCTCAATTTAGGTGGTGTAGGTGCTCTTAAAAACTCATCTGTTTCTACTGAATCACATCTAGTAAATTGACTTTGCAAGTATTTTCAATAACCTCCCAAAGCGAAAGCATTTTACCAAGGCTAGTTTGTGATCAGAACAACACCAAAACACTCTGTACACTGAAAAATCCTATAGACATAGACATACAAACAAGAGTTTGTATGTTGCATGTTGCCTGCTTATGTACTGTATTTTTCGCTCCATAAGACACACTTTTTTCCTTCTAAAAACTAAGGGGAAATGTGTGTGTGTCTTATGGAGCGAATGCAGACGGGAGGCTCTTGCTGGAGTCGTGCTCTCTTTAAAGAGCTGCGCCTAGTGTGTGTCTTGGGGGCTTTTCCGCGAGGTGAGAGAAGGGACTGACGGGCTGCCCTCTGTCTCTTCCCCCACCTCCTGGAAAAGCCAGCAAGAGCCACACGCTCTTTAAAGAGCCAGGCTCTGCTCAGCGCTCCCTTGTAAGGGCTCCCTATCATCCCTCATCCCGCTTTGCTAGGAAGCCAGCAGAACAAGAGGCGCTGCGCAGTTATTGCTCTTGCTCTGCTGGCTTCAGCGAGAGCTGCTCAGCTTGCTCTGCTGGCTTCTCAGTGAAGCGGTAGGAGGGATGGAAGAGTTTAAAGCAAGAAAAGCGAGAGCCATTTACATGCTCTGCACAGAATATTTTTTTCTTGCTTTTCCCTCTAAAAACTAGGTGCGTCTTATGGTCAGGTGCGTCTTATGGAGTGAAGCATACAGTAACTTTGCCACTTCATCTGTTACTCCTTTAATCATGTGCTGGATTTATATCCCACCTTTCATCATGAATGGTATTAAGGCACCTTCCTGGGGCCAACCGAAGAGAGCGTGCAGCCTAAGATGGACAACATGGCGGCACCCCTCCTCATTCCACATACACAGGCAAACTGTACCAGCAGTTGCATCTCAGTTCAATACTAGTGAAGAGATTACTGGCTGTGCTGTTTCCAAAAAGAGTAAGAGTTTTATTTTAAAAAAATACCAATAAAGCAGTGTCAAAATCTTTCCCCCTCTGTTAAATATTTTTTAAAATTAATTTTCAATTACAAAAAATCCAATATATGCCACAAAGCAGTGTCAAAATCTAGATAGCTCAGTTGGTTAGAGTGTGGTGCTGATAATGACAAGGTTGCAGGTTCGATCGCCACAAGGGACAGCTGCATATTCCTGCATTGCAGGGGGTTGGACTAGATGATCCTCAGGATCCCTTCCGACTCTACAATTCTGTGATTCTTTGAAAACAACAATAAAAACACAGAGATCACATATAAAACAATATCCCCATTCATCTTTTCCGCCTCTCCAATAATGTGCTCCCATAGGACGTTTCGTTCCATTTTGTAAAAGGGAGCATAGTCACACATGGTCAGTTTTCTTCACAAAATGCAATGAAAGGAAATATTTCAGCGCTTGGTCCTTTGCTTATGGCCTTCTTAGGTCATGTTGCTCTGATTCTCAGATTCCAGTTGCTTGCGTCTGCCACCCTCTAACACCCCACCCCACCCCGGACTTATCTACATGTAGCCATTTAGTATATGACGCCATTCTGGTATAGACAGAGCTCGCTGGGATTTAGCAATGCAGAAGAAGGTCTTTATCTAATGGCTTCCCATTCATCTCACAGTTGGCGAACTATCACAGTTTATGTAATGTCTGCTCTGCTCTCGTATGCAGCACAAACCTTTTGATTTTACTGCATAAATAAACAAGGAAGGAACAAGCTGCAAAACACATCATAGCTTCGTCGATATCAAGGTGGAATCTGCAGTAGAATTAGAGCTGGCTTAATATATTATGCATGGGAATAGTAGAAATTCTAACAGCATCTATATGACAAGACCTGGGGAAACATTGTTAGCAGTTAGTATTCCTGAGCATAAATATAACGGGTGAAATTTCACTTGAACTCTGTCCCTGAAACACAAAAAATAGATTTTTCTTTCTTTAAAAAAAATAGCCCTACAAGCTGCTCCCATTAGTTATAAACTCATCATTTTCATGTTCAGCTCTGTGGCTGAACTGGCTCCCCGACCTCTGAACTCCTTAGATTTCAGAAGGGGGAAATGCCTGAAGAAAAGAGATGTTTGTCTCTCATTTTCTCAGCAGCAAACTGGATGGCTGGTTTTGACTGCAGTCCTAAAAGCTGTAAAGCAGCAAGCCTCTTAATGCCTATTCTGGAGCAGTCCGCTGGGAAGCTCTCCTGGGCAAACCCCATTGAAATAAATTGGAAGTGTTAAGGGCAGCATCTTGGCAGAGTGTGCCTGAAGGGTCTATCACAGTTACACAAAGATTTCACTGAACTTCCTGGAATCACAGAAGAGAGAGCAGCATTTCTGTTGGAGCCACAGAAGGGAGTTTCGGTCGGTTGGCATTGCTTCTGTGACACTGAGAGGGAGTGAGAGTTTTAGGGCTTTCCGTGGGATCTGTAAAAATTTCTCATAATCTTGGTGCAGTAACCCTATATTTTAAGAGCAATCTTCCTTGTGTAGCCAAAAAGACACCATCCCACACACAAGCGAGAGCTTTTGGCAGGCTTGAAGAAGTACAAAAAAGGAAACCCCTTTGGGAGGACCATTAAGGGAAGGACCCCAAACAGCCCAATGAATACTGAGCATGCTCAGAGGCCACAAAATGGTGGGTATCAGTTGCAAGGGGTGGTAGAATGGAGTGGCTGGCTGGCTGCAATGCTGCAACATCTTGCTGCAGGTGCTATTTGTATTTCATTTGTACACCCCACAGGACAGTGGCGTAGCGTGGGGGTGCAGGGGGGGCTGGCCGCACCGGCCGCAACATCTGGGGGGGGTGCGCTCGCACTCGCAGCTCTCTGCCCCTACCTGGCTCACTCACTCTCTCTCACTGCAGTGCTGGCTGTGCGAATCCGATCCGAGCCGCTGGGTCGCCACCCACTGTGGAGGGGGTGGGTGCCAGGCGTGCGGTGCGGAGAGAGAGCGAGGGACTATCTGGGGGAGGGACAGTGCAGCGGCTGTCCAGCGCAGCGCTGAGCGCAGGAGAGAACCACACCAGACCAGACCAGGCAGCAGCAAGAAGAAGCTGGCAGCGGGGCAGGTTAGGGGTTAGGGGGCGCAAATTACTTGCCTTGCCCCGGGTGCTGACAACCCACGCTACGCCACTGCCACAGGAATTCCAAATAGCAACACACTCAAATTGCTACCGCCCTCCACCCCACACCCATCACTGTGTCTCACACTTTAAAGAACAAAGATCCTGCCCCCAAGGAGCTTACAGTCAAAGTTTTGATGAGGGTAAGACAGGAAGAAAGATGCAAGAGTACTAAGGAATTAATGACAGCACGTCCGGCTACATGTACGTAAGCGCCATTTCAGCTGGGGATGAGAACTAAGGAGTTAAGCCAAAAGCTTTGCAGAAATGGATGGTTTTAGAGGAGAGATTTGAAGGAAGAGGTGGCAGGGCACAACTATCCTGGGAGGGGATTCTGAGGCAAAGGTCAGAAGTAAAGATAACACAGAAAACAATGGGGAGGGTAGAGCCATGGAGAGCTTTATCAGTGAGGATTAGGTTGAGATGGGAAGACAGCGCAGGGATTTAAAGTCTAGACTATTATGAGGTCATGCCATTTCTTGCCATTCACAGAATCATAGCATCATGGAATTGTAAAGCTGGAAGGAACCCCATGGGTCATCCAGCCCAGCCTCCTTAAATTAAAAAAAACAATAGTGTAAATATTTCAACAAAGGATGCACAAGAGCATCCCATAAAATCAAAGGGAGCAAAAATAAACAGAACAAAAATTAACTGGATACTTCTGTTTGTTTATGATTTTTATTTATTTAAGATATTCCTAGATCATTTTATTGCTGGTGTTTCTAAGCAGCAGAGATAATAATTTTGAAAGTAGGCAAAGGATAAAAATTAATCAGAACAGAAAACTTACTTAACTGCTGAAATAGCAAGGTATCAGTCAAGAACTTGCTTTTCAACAAGGAGGGAGCCTGTCTAATCTCAGCCAGGAGGGACTTCTACAGCGTTAGATCCACAATACAGAATGTGTAGCTTCTGGTGGTTATGAGCTGTGCATTGGAGCCATGGGGAACCACTAACAGACATTTGTGTGAGCAAAGAACAGAAAACAAAGGGAAATGCAAAGCATTAGGTGACCGGAATGGGAGCAATGAAAGGAAATGATCAGCCATAATGAGAGAAAAAGGCACTCTGTCCACGCATGGAAATAGAGTTGGTGGCTACCCAGTGCTGCTGTCAACATTCATGGTCAGCTCCTTCATGCAGCTGATTCCTCCAATGGTGACATTAAGTGCATATCAATTATTTAAAAACAGAAACAAGTTTGAATTTCAATACAATGGGAGATACACAAGAAGGTCCCCTAGTGGCCCGTAGTACTTGGATCATTATATTATGGTCCCACAAATATAAGGAAGCTTCCAAAAGTTTGGAATCTGGCAGAAACTCTTAATTCTAAATAAAAATAAATAAATCTAACTGCAATTCAGCTAACTGCAATTCAGCAAATGAATGAAAACTAGAGTCCAAAGCAAATGAACAGATCGATCCACCAGGTCTCTTCAGCTGGGATCTGGAGCATGTGAACCATCTATTCCAGGCATAGGAGCTCTTTATTTTTATTGCTATGAGCGTTTCAAGCAAAGATACATAAAAAAGTGAAATAAATCATATTTTCCCAGACAGTGTATCTATGAGTAAAGGCATATGTGAATCCCTGTTCTTACAAAATACTGTGCTTTGTTTCAAATCAGCCACGAAGCCTACTGAGTGAACTTTGGCCAGTCTTTCCATCTCAGTCTCAACTTTTTCACAGGACAAATGAGGAAAATCAGAACCTGTAGGCCACCTTCAGCTCCTTGGAGAAAAAGGTAGGATATCAATGCAGCAAATAAAAATAATATGTGGCAGAGTGGCTTTATTTGCAAGCAACCTTAAGAAACTAACAAACAAAAATATGTAAGAATATAAATGTTCATATTTGGAGAAAGTTTATTTGGGAGTTTCCAGGTGTATTTTTTAGCATAATGGTAGTTACAAATCCAGAAACTAAAGAGATGATGCTCTATCAATGCTCCTGCCTCTGTTTCTATGGGACAGTCACCATTCCCTCCCTTTCTAACACATAAAATCATAGAATTATAGAGTTGGAAGGGACCCCAATTAGTTGAAACCTCCTGCAATGCAGGAATCTCAGATAATAATAATAATAATAATAATAATAATAATAATAATAATAATTTCATTATTTATACCCCACTCATCTGGCTGGGTTTCCCCAGCCACTCTGGGACGTTTATTACAGCATATATTATAAGAAAACATCAAACATTAAAAACATGACAGATGGCCACCCAACCTCTGCTTAAAAACCTCTCAGGAACGAAAGTCCACCACATTCCACTGTCGATCAGGTCTTAATCTTACTGTTTGGACTAGTAGCAAATCAGTAGCTACACTGTTGATGACTTGTGTCTAGCATGCCTGTGTGCATAGAAATTATTAGCAGATCTTAACATTTGAAAGCATCTTTATTTGCTAACATGTCTAAGGTATACGAACCAAAAATAGTAAGAGACTACTGAATGCCACAGAACATTCAGTGCTGAAGATTTATACTTTAAAAATGCCTCGGTCCTATAACATGTTTTATGAAGGGGGGAAATAGAAGGTGCAGTCCCTCTGACTGAAGCTGAGAACAGGCCATATCTCTATAAGATTTAGCTCTTTCCAAATACCCCTGAAATTCTTTAAACCATTAAAATCATAAATGATTGCTCAACAGAGGAATAAAGTGTATAGCTGTGTCCAAGGCTGAGTTTCATTCACTCTCTGCAATTGCAATAGGATCATCAAGACCTAAAAAGACTTACAAATGAAGAGGGATAAGGATTATTATTTCCTAATGTAATTATTCAGTAAATATAATTTCCCTCTAAGAGTAAAAGACTGTTAAGAGTTGGGTGGCAGGATCCCCCTAAATTCCTGGGTCTAATAAAAGTTAGAATTAATCAATGCTTGGAGTGCTAAACTGAAAGTTAGACTATAAATTGTTGGACTTTGCTTTCTTTGCCCACGAAACTACTTGGGAGAAGAACCGTCAAGAAGAACTAACAGGAGGTCATCACAGGAATGGTCGAGTCATTGATCAAATAA